AACAATGTGATCATGTGAATCTGGACAATTCCAGAGGAATGAAGAAAGCTAATCCCGAGGGTCTCTTGTGGGCACTGACGTAGTTGCCTTCCATCTATTCCATTTAATTTAGCAACATGCTCCAAGAAATAGGAGTTTGCTCTGTAACAGGCACACTTACAAAGTGTCCTTCTTCCCACAGTGCTCACACAACCTGTGCACTTTTACTGGTTGCCTAGTGTGCATTTTTCAGGGTTACTCGATGCAGACTGTTTTCTGTCCCCCTGGAGCAGCAAACAGGCAGTCATGCCGTTCATGTGAAATTCTGCTGGCCGAAGGGAAGTGTCACGAGCTCAAGGGCTGAGTTAAATGGAGAGCGTGTGGTAATTACCCACTCTGTTAGAGCCCTCTGCCCATCCCTGTTTTGCTGGAGCCTTATTTTAAAATACGTTGGCTGTCTGACTAAACCTGAACAACAGATTAACCATAAATGCATTCCTGGAACTTAAGTTCCTCTTGCTGCAGTGCTGTGCACAATTACCGGGAACATGGACTCAGGAGGGTCAGGACAAGAATCAGCATCAACTCAAATTCTGTTAGGGCGGCATAACATTTCACTGCAACAACACAGACAAATGCATCTTCAAAGTCATCAGTACAGTGTCACAACCTTAAAATGCATGAGCTGACCTTGTTGTTCTACTCCTGGCATTAGGTTAATGCAGAATTATGAAAATGTTTACTTTGGGTTTATATTTTTCTTGCATACACAAGAACTAAAGACATTCAGACCTCCTATGCTCAATCTGCTAAGAATAATGCACTAAATCACTCTATGGGCAAACTAATAAAGTTTTATTTTTCTGCTGAAGTTAAATTCTGTTGTGCTGTCTGTTCATTTTTTCATGTTAATTTATTTTCTCAGAAGGATAAACTCCATATAGATAGGACGCATACCTCATAAGACCTAGCTCATTGCAGTAATTAAAACAAACAAACAAACAAACAAACTTTATGATTGAGTGATCACAATCTAACTCCTAGGGATAAACTTAGCCCTGTAAAAATAAAGCATTTCTCTGAGGCTGCCACATTAATATGTAGCCAGTGACCTTTGACTAGGAACCTGTCAGTCAAAGCCTCAATACACAGGAAACATATGCCCTGTTCCGGGGGGGGGGGGCAGAACATTCAATATAGCAAGTCCTGGTATCTGGATAAGTTCTAGATTGATTTAGTTTGAGGCAGGGATTTGGGCAAGATGCCCTTTTGGGATCCCTATTATTGACATGAAATAGCCTCAATTTGAAATAGAGCCACATGTAAAGTAGCAGAAAAGAAAGAGGCATCTTTTACTTGAGAAATACCCAGGACCCATTTCTGTGCTTTGGAGTCTATGTCTTTGATTTCCACACCAAGCCTGAGTCCTTACCTTTAGTCCCCATCCTTCCTAAGGCTCTCTCACATGAGATTTTAAGATTTAAACCCTTTTAGGACACACACAACCTGTTACCTTCTCTAAGAAGCCTTCTCTCTTCATTTAAGTGTATGATGGACACCATTCTTCCTTCCTCCCTAAATACTCCATGTATATTGTCAATCTTTAAGCCTTCTGAATCATGATTTGTTGAAATGTATCTGTCCCTTCTACCTGTCCCCCACAAGTGAGCTCCTTAAGGGACACTGCCTTGGTCATCTTTGTCTGCCCAATACTTAAGCATAGTTTATTTTTTTGCATGTGTAAAACTTCTAAATATCATAAGTTGAAATCAAGTTAATCTATCAAAAAGATTATTTTTACCTAGATGATGGAGGGCTATGGTAGATATCCTATCATCACAGAAATATTTCACTTTTTACTGAAGAATTAAATAATGTAGACAGAAAGCTCTCAATGCCTGGCACTTTGTAGATGCTCAATAAACACAAAGTTTGAGAATGTATTTTTGGCCCAACATTATGTGTAGAGTCTCCGGGTCATTTCACATGTTCTGACTGAGAGGCATAAAAATGAACACAGGAAACCAGCATATCACAGAGGCGGAACCTCAGGACTTTGGGGCTCCTAAGGAAAGTTAGCATCTTTCTTATTATTTTCTTTTCAAAAGGAGAAATTAAAATATGAAGAAAAAAGAGATAGCATGTCACTTTTAATGAAGCTTTTTTTTGGGTAAAGAATTTAGCTCACAAATGATCTACAACATTGTTGTTTTAAGATAAAAATGGTGGAAAGAACCTCAGAGTTCATCTTCCAGTTCAACCTCTATTTTATGGATGAGGGAAAAGTAAGACCAAAAGTTTAGCAATCAAAATCAACTCAACTCTTTAATCTGACAATTACCAAGCATGGAGTTATCAATTTTTATTATGCTTCTTTTGCAAAGTATGTTTTAAGACTAAAATTTCTTGCATAGCTGGCTAGGACAGCTGAACCAGCTCGGATATCAGCAGGTCTATTTTCAAATGCCCAAAGGGACTGGTGAGTAAAGTCACTTAAAACAACAATTAAGTCAACCTCTGGTTCTTATGTTGGCCATAAGCAGAACATATAATATTTCTGCAGCAGGATATATAATATTTCTGCTACATCCATAAAAATAACTTATTAGTGGTTAATGAAATCAATGCATACAGTAAAGAATATGTACATGTCTTCTAAAACCCACAACTGGAAACCACTCCAGCAACAGTAAGTCCAACGAAAAAGACAGCTGCCGCTGAGGAAGAAGACACTGTTCCTTTCAACTGCACAGGCCAGGTCCAAATCCTACAGAACCTCCAGAGGACTAGAACTGACGAAGACTACGCTGATGTATACAACTCAAATCATTCCTCCCTGATGCTCAAGAGACAAGATCCAAAGTTAAAGGCTTGTATTCAAGGGGTCATTCACTACAAGAGTTCAGTTTCAAGGCACTAAGGAAGGTCATCTTCAAACTTAAATTAGGCCATGTTTCATCCTACTAAATCCCAGGAATATTATTCCACAAATAGAATGAGAATTTATTATGCTCTACGTTCCCATCACTTTAATGACTTTCTGAGAGCACTGACAAATCTAATTTTAAAAAGATAAATTTGGACTCTAGCTCATAAAATTAAGAAAAATACTGTTTCTAACAGTAAGTTTTCTTAAATTGCCATTTAAATTTAGGCAAGTCATTTATTTGATTAAAAGGCCAGTCTTGAGTATTTTTTTTTTTTTGAGGAAAGAGCATTGTATTGATTACTAGATTGTACGCTATTTTTTGTCTAGCATAGTTAAACCGATCACGACAACATACTCATTTGGACCAGTGCTCATGGAGCTTCTGTTCTGCACATCTGTACAGTTCTCTGTACGAGGACCTCAGGTGGCTGCCCGCACAGGACAGGACCGCAGCAAGACAGAGATGGCTGACGTGGTGCAGAGCCATCTGCCACCGCAGAACAACTAGAAAACATTCTCTATGGAGGGTCTCTCTACCATCAGTGGAAGCCAAAAGCCCAGGAAAAATCATAAGGGCTCATTTATAAATTTTCTCAAATTGCTAGCATTTTATGTTATCATGCTTTCTGTTGGTCCAGAATTCCTATTCCAAACAGCCTTCTGCAGTCTGAGGAGTCCCCTGCCAGTACCATAATGAGCCCATGAAAATGCACCCCCAGGCACACAGCACTGTGAGATAATGAATGATCTTGTCTTTGACTGAGTATGCATCAATCTCCAGTGAACCCACCAAAAGAAACCTCGCTTTCTCTGCGCTTGCCACAGCAGGACTAGTTTTCAAGAGGACAATCACTTTTAGTTCTGTAGCCAAACTACTGGGTTTGAAAGGTCCTTCAGAGTCAAGTTCAAATGTCACCTGCTCCAGAAAGCCATCCCAGATCTTTGAAACCAGATGACCTCTGCTTTCTCCAAACTCCCAGAGCACTTTACTCCTATGTCTGCCTCCTCCATACCCTCAGAGCTCTTTTCCCAATGGCACAAATGTTCTCTGACCACTTGTGCATTGATATTATGCTCCTGGAGGCAGGGCCTTGATTTTTTCTTGATCCACTGAAGGCTCACCTCAATCAGTGCCTTCCACACAACACAATTCATACCACTGCACTGAAGCGTATCAAAGCACTCAAGAACAGCGTGGAGGGCAGAGACTGGACAAGGGTTTCTGTGCCACCTAAAACCAGTTCCACACACAAAGGAACAGGACATGATGATGGACAAAAGGGAAACGACAAAAATACTCTACACTAGCACTGGTTTTGTGCTTCATTGGGTATGCCCGAGGAAAAGTAGCAGCCTGTGTCTGTCCCACCTCTTCACCTGATATTTCGATTTGGACTTTTGGTAATAGAACATTTTTCTGTCATCTTAACTTTTGTTCTGCATCTGAATTATTCTTAAATACAGGTCAGCCGCACACTTTATGATCGGCCATTTTCAGAGGAAATGAAGTTAGGTTAAATAAATACTATCTGAAAGGTTGGATTTGATTTCTGTGGCTAAGAGTGTTTCTATGGAGTCTTATGAAGAATCTCCTATTTGCCCCAGTTAATTTAATATTGCATCGCCTACAGTTGCAGAGTGTAATCCCCATCTGTAAATCACCACAGCTATTTCAGATTGGTAAACATGTTTGTCCTGATGGTTACTGAATATTTAAAGAGGTAACATCTCTTTCTGAGTGTTATTTCCCTCTGCACTCGTGACTAATTTAATGCTATTACATTGCGTAGGCTTGAATTTGACAATTTTCTTTTTAGATCATTTCTCTCCATTATCTGTCTTTATGAAGAAAAAAACAAACACATATGTCATCTGATGTGGGCAAATCAGGACCTTTCGAATGTTAGTGAGGAAGTTCCAAATGAAGACCAGAGGGTGTAACTCTGAGTATAGAAATGCAGGACCTAAAGACATAGGAAACCTTTCACCGAAGAGGAAGGGTGTTTTAGAGGACAAATGAACGAGGAAGATTTCATTCCAAAGCCAAAGCCCTGGGACCTCCCCGCGCACCCACACTGTACCGCCGCCGTACCTCTTGTTCCTGTCCTCCAGCTGCAGCGTGTACACCGTGTCATCGGCGGCATGGGTCTTGGCGCTGCTGTCTCCCCATTTCAGCTTCAGGCTCTGAGGCCCGGCTGCAGCACATTCGAGCCTAGGAGGCAAGGGTGGTAATGGCCGAGTTTTTGCTTTAATGAACTGACTAAAGGGTCCAGCTCCAATTTCATTGATGGCCTGGATCCTGATCCTGGAGAATGAAAAAATAAAAACATTGCAGCGTAAGAAACAAAAATTCCTCATATGGAATAAACATTGTGTAAAGTATTTATTACTTGCCCTTAAAGCAATATCATGGAATGGAAAAAGAAAAAAACAAACAAACCAAAAAAACCCCACAAAGTAATTCAAGACACCTTTCTATGTAATAAACTGAGCTGTGAGTATAACAATAAACAAAAAGGCACATTAGCACGATATACCTATGCTCTTTAATTTTTTTAAGAAAAGGATGTTGTCTGAGGGAAGATATACTAAGGACATTTAGCCACTTCCAAGTCAGTTTTGGAAGGAGGTGAGCTACAAAGAACAAACAAACAAAACAAATGAGTCTCCGCCAGAGTTCACGAGGCATCTTTCCTCATCTTTACCCAGAGCTCAGCGTGCGCACACGGCTGGTGACAGGGTGTCCGCAGATGTGCAAAAATCTAACTGGATGTTTACTCTGCACTCTGGGTGTTACGGGTAATAAAGGTATTAACACTGCCCTCATGGTCTAGGAATTTAAAACCAAATAGAGTTAAATTATATATGTAAATGAGTATCCTGCTGTTGTTCCTATTTTTCTTGTTTCTCTATTTCCTTCCTGGTTGACTGAAACAGTTCTCCAGGGTCATCATGCAACAAACCGATGGCACTGCTCCATCCTCACCCTCAACACCTCTTCCCGCAGTGACTGAATGTTTTTGAAGCTTGTTTCCTCCTGGCATTTGGTGACCTTTCTCCTCTACGCTCAGACCAAAGGGCTCATAAACAGCCCCACCCCACCCTCTGTTCCCCTTCTTTCCTCTGTACAATATGGGCAGCTCTCTCCGCAGCCTCAGACATTTCCAGAGCTGCATACACGTTAAGACCACCCCCAGTCCTGCGTTTCCTCCATCTCTCCATGCCCTGTTCCTAGGCCCCGAGCAGAAACCTCCACCCACACCCCCTGGCTAGGTACACAGGCATCTTACTGAGATGAATGGGGCAGTGTGGAGTCACATTTAAACTTGAGTTGAATTTGAAATAGTATTTAAATCATGTGATAAAAAATATCATCAAAGACACACATTCTTAAGAAACAGATTAGTTTAAAATATTCCTATAATTTAGGTTTATGCACTTCTCATTTACAACACTTATTGCTTATACTTAAATAGAAAATATTTAAGTATCCCTATAGCTAAATTCATCCTGTGAGTGTAAGTGTAGCCTTACTTAGCCTTATTTCTTCAAATTTAAAGATTATATAATTCTGTCAGTCAATATAATAATATGCCTGTAGATTGTTAAGAAGAACAAACAAACAAACTAGATTCATTCCAGGTGAGATGGAGGGAGCTCACTCCACCCTGTCTCTCCCACCGAGTGAAGTTATTAAACTAGGACAAAGTAAGTGAGCAGCTATTTAAGAACTCCAATAAGTCAATGGTAGCTGGAGAACTTGGGGGAGAATGTGAACTATCACTGAACCACCAGCGAGTTTACCACTGCTCCCTGCCACTGTGCCCAGGCTGGTCTCACTGCGACCCGACACCCCGGAGCAGACATCTGCCCAGCCCGAAGTTCTGCCAGAAGCCTTGGGTCAGAGAGAGAGAAGGCAGTCTCTGGATGCTCACAGTGAACAGGGAAAAATCCCCCATTCCCTTTCCCCCACTTTCATGCATTCTTCCCCTCCCTAGCCCTTAGCCAATGCATATTAACAGTCTAAAGGAGAAAAAAACCCACATAATCATATCAATTAATACAGAAAAAACATCCGATGGAATCTAACATCTATTCATACTAAAAGTTCTCGGCAAAATAGGGATAGAAGGAAACTTTCTCATCCTGACAAGGGCATCTACAGTAACACCACAGCTAACATTATATATTTACCATTATACTTAATGGTAAAGTATGCAATGATTTCTCTTTAAGATGGGGAACAAGGCAAGGATGTCTACTTTCACCATTCCCATTCAACACGGTCTACTGGAAATTCTTGAGAGTAGGGGGAAAGGCATAGGGATATAGGAAAATAAAAAAGCCTCCCAGAAACTATAAGACACTGCCGAAAATATTGAAAACCACCTAAATGGAGAGAGACATACTGTGTTCATGAATTATAAAACTCCTCCCAGAGGACTTATTATAAAGCTACATAATCACGACAGTGTGGTACTAGTAAAGAGACAGACTCATAGATCAATGTAACAGGATACAGACTCCAGAAATAGACCCACACAAATATGGCCAATTGATTTTTTTGACAAATGTGCAAAAGTAATTCAATGGAGAAAGAATAGAAACAATTAGATATCCAAAGTGAAAAAAAAATCTCAATCTAAAGCTCATTTTATTCTAAACTTAACTCAGAATGGACCACAGATTTAAGTGTGAATTATAAAACTTTTAAGAACAGGAAAAAATAGTTGTTACCTAAGATTAGGTAAAGAGTTTTTAGATAGCATGTGGAAAACATGACTTATAAAAGAACAAAATTGAAAAAGTGGGCTTCATAAAAATTAAAAACTTCTGCACTTTTAGGAGAATGAAGACAAGACACAGACTGGGAGAAATACGTGCAAGTTATGTATCTGACAAATAAATTGTATCCAGAATGTATAAAGACCTCTACAACTCAACAGTAAGAAAACAACCCAACAGCTTTATCAAACACCTTTATGGTATTCATACAAGAGTAAGTTTCTATGATTGGAAAACAAGAAATTTTTCTACAATTGAAGAAAAATATTTTTTTTAAGATTTTATTTATTTTTTTAGAGAGGGAAGGGAGGGAGATAGAGAGAGAAACATCAGTGTGCGGTTGCTGGGGGTCATGGCCTGCAACCCAGGCATGTACCCTGACTGGGAATCGAACCTGAGACACTTTGGTTCACAACCCGCGCTCAATCCACTGAGCTACGCCAGCCTGGGCGAAAAAAATCTTTTTTAAAAGGTGGTAATCATGGTGGTAGGAATTACTACCTTTTTCCCCTTCTCAGGAAAAGGGAATTAAGCCAAACATTGTCTCAGTCTTCCTTCAAAGGTGTAACAAATTTCCTCGCTTCCAGGTTTACATTAATGTCTTTCCAGCATTTAAACTGCCATGCCTTCCCTTCCCTCTGGGCAGGTATTCCTAGAGCCCAGGGGTCAGGACGCTTCCTTCCGTCTGCTCACCTGCAGTCCTGCAGAGCTCACTCTGTGTTCCGGGTTTGGCTTTGTGCAGCACGCACAGCCCTTAGCTACTAAATGAGATAATTATTGCTTAAGATTGTTGTTCTGCTCAAGAAAAAATATACTAAGTAATCTAAATCATTTATAAGAATTAAAAAATATTTTATAAAAAACAAGTATTAGGAAAAATGTGGATTTAATATTTGAGGTTTTTTTTTTTTTTTGCAATTTCACTTATTTCCCCAAAGCCTCAACGGTGTTTTGATAGGTACTGGGTTCCTTACTTTGTCGCTCTATGGTTCTCTGATCTTTTACCGAGAAGTACCCCATGGTATATAGTCTCTGCCTTCCACGTGCGACGACAACGACAATGACAGCGACAGGAATGCTGCAGTGTCACTGTCACTCTCTTCAGGGGTGGGACTCCTGCTCAGCACTTTGGTTGCCTTGGGGAAATCATCTAACAGCTTTCAATCACAGTTTTCTTAAGTATAAAATGGGGATAGTAACACCTTTGCTGCATTTATAGACAGGATTACTTAAGATAAGGGATATGGAAAGCACCTTATATCTTTTTAAATATTTAAATGTATCTTTTAAATAGTTAAAAATACACATATTTTAAAAATATTTTTAAATATTTAAATATTTTATACTCCACCACACAACCAGAAAAGAATTCAAAAGCACTCTGGTGATCTTTAAAGGGCTAATGTATAGAGTTGTTACTAGTTGCTACTCTTCTGACTTCTCTCAGGGAAGAAAACGTGCTGAGCGCCCACGAGGAGTGGCTCTGTGCTGGGCTCATGAACGCGCGTCTTCATCTGAGCTGCATTGTTGCCATGACCTCACTTTATGACTTGAGTACTTTGCTGCTTCCTCTAATTATGGCCAAGGGTCCATAGCTAAAAGGATTGGTTTCTTTGGGATCCGTCCTCAGAAGGTGAGGGTGAGACAAAGAGCTCGGGAACAGATGCAAATGTTGACATGACCACCAACGAGCACCACCACAAACAACACTGAACTCACTCGCTCTGCGCTTGGATCTGCGCTTGGAGTAGGGAAACTAGTAATTTCCCTTGCCTTTAGAGATGAGGTATCTGCAGTTAAACGCCCAGAGGTGAAATAATGCAATCTCAGTGACACAGTGCCTACTAGGTGTCGAAGTCCAGATTTGATAAGAACAACATGATCTCTGATTTCTACCCTGAACCCATGAGGCAGGGAGTACTTTGTCTATTTTAACGTGAATGAACTGCCGCCGGCTAAGTTCAGCCATCTGCACTGAGGGACACAGGTCAGAACTGGGTAATAAATTGGGTCTAGGCTCGGAGTCTCCGGGTATTCTGGCACACCGTACTCTCCTAAACACAACCTGGACCACACACAGCTTCTAATCCCATCAAAAGATATTTTTAATTCAAACCACACTTTCAGTTCAACAGCTGCCTTTTGCCAATGAAACAGATATTTAAAACAACCAATAAATGTGCTTTCACATTATTTAAATAACTTTGGGCCTTGAAATCAACTACCTAGATTTTAATATACTTCAACTTATCCCCTATTTTTACAAAAACACATTTTGCTTCAGTAAAAATGCATGGAAAACATTTTTCCGTGTAGCCGATGCACTGAAGTAACGTTAATTAGTTCTAATGATTAAGTCACATTCCATATTGAAGTAGAACTGTGGAGCCAGTACAATGGCCAGGTCTTCTTGTGTTCTGATAAACATTCAGCACTCGGAGCCCAGAAGGCTGGGGAAGTGGAACAAAGATGAAGGTAGGTAGTGTTCATTTTGTTTTGGAGTGAAAAATGCAGTATGTG